AAAAAATTATTCAACTTTGACTTAGTCTTTGATATTTATTTTTCCTGCAGATTTTTGCTCCTTAATTCACCGTCTTTTGGTTAGTAAATAAGTCTGAAAGTAGTGTCAATAATATCTAATATTAGTTGAGGTTTTTTAGTTTTTCAATTTGCTTGTAAGCCTATAAATGGGCACCTTCAATTCTGAAATAAAACGTACAACAGATAACTTGCACAGTTTGCATTTGTGAGTGTTAATTTCTCTCTGCAATTTCCTTTTTCAATACTCTACTACTCTAAATTCCCAACACTGTGGACTTCCCACTTCCAGTCTTCTACTCTCTCCAATTAGAGGTCTAGAGCCAATAGTCATTGTTGACGTCCGTTCGGGCTGAACTTTTGGACTGGGTCCGCCCCTGATGCCATGGGTGGACGGCAGGCATGCAACCCACTACCTACTCGAGTGGTGTGCTTTTGCTTTCTTTATTATTATTTTTTTAGTTTTTTTATTCATTTTTGAGGTTATCTTTTGTGGGAACTCTATGAAGTGTAATACTGCATAAAAACCTAATCTAGATGAGAAAATAGTTCCACAATTTGAGAATTAGAAAGAAGAACATTGAAGAAAAGCAAGAAATCAAGTTATCAAGACTAGGGTTTGAATCATTGATTTGGATAATAAGAGGATCTTGGTGCAAGATTTATCCACTTCTCTACTTCTTAATTCAAAAACCTAGTGATATACTCCAATATTATTCTTTGTTTTTCTTCATCTAGTACAGTTAGCTAAACTTTTTGTTAGGGCAAAAAATGTAGCTTGCTGAGTTCCCCTAATTAAATTTTCAAGATTCTAGTTCTCAATTTTGTGTTAATTTTATTTATGGTTGTTAATGCTTTGAATTACTTAGCCAATAATTCAATGATCTGATGAATTTATAACGAATCGAGAAGTAAGTTATAGGTTTAGACTACATACTAAAATTCGAGAGCTAGTATAAAATGGTAGAAATACTCTTTTTAGTAAATGTTATCATTACATTACGTGAATCTTAGACCTTTAAGGCGTTTAACAAAGGTGTATCTTTATTAACATAAAGATATGAATTGACTTAACTAAATATAATAAATTTGAACTCCAAAAAGGTAAATTGAATGCGTTAGAGGAATTCGACCGAATACTACATTAAATTAAGAATCTTAATTAGAGAATTAAAGATAATCGCTAAATGAAATTGTGTGCCCTAGTATCTCCTTCATACTTAGAAACCTAATTCAATTTTTATGTGCATTTCGGTACATCAAGCTAGTTAGTATAATTTAGATTAACAATCACCAAATTATAAATTACTTTCGTCAAATAGAAGTAGAAATAGTAAATTAAAAATAAATAACTCAAAGGAGACTATATTACTTGTTCGGTATCCTACACTTGCGATTGGGAAAATGCAAATTTAGCAGGAGGTTTGTATGGATATACTAGAAAAAATTAAGAATGGAATCAAAATATATTCTCCAGTTGTATACAAAACACGCACTTAAACATCATGTAACAAAATATAACATGTTGCAGTTCAGATATGTTCATAAAAACACAAATGCACAACAAAATGGATATCTATATACGTATAACAAAAGGACATATCAAGGATATTAATGGATGTTTTACACAGTATTTAAGCAGAGTACTTTTTCTATTTATATGGAACCAACAAATTCACTATTATTTGATAACAAAACCCTTATCCCCAACCATCAAATACAGGAAAAAAACAGCGAAAATAAATTAGGAAGCAGAAGATTTTACATTTTGCATCCTAACGTTGGACTAAACTATTATTTATTAGCACGAAGAGTATCTTCTTGAAGATATACTATGCATAGCTCTTTTTAAGCTGCTAAATTTGATTACCTTTCGTGGCACAAATACAAGAATTTATCGAGCCTCAAGCAACCAATGCAGCAAAGAATTGGCACAGTCTCTTCACCTGACGACAGTTATATCTCTTTTATTCATGCAGCCGACTCTAGCTGAAGAGTTCTCTAGCAAGCTAAGTCAACGTGGGATGCACTTACAGTATACTAATATAAAGACATCCTGTAGATGTGATGATCTGAATGAATAAGGCATTGGGTTTGCAAGAATGTCCTTCAATACAAATACGACGATGAGAAAGCGGGTGAACGATGAAAGTGGGTGAATGGTTGGAATGACTAATCACTTTGGTGCCAATCTTATCGGGCACACAGAGAAAGCAACACACCGAGCTCCTTTAGCCAACATAAATCGCTCATTTTCTGTCAATGGCCTCTCAATGACCTTCACAATGTTTGCATCCTATACAAGAGATTTCAAGTATCACAAAGTATTGAATATAGAATACAACAAATATACTGATTGTCACCTCTATATTTCACGTGTGAAAATTACAACTGAGATCCCCACTCATATTGTAGCACTTGGTCCCCAACCAATTTTTCTTAGCATTTGGATCTCCAACCTTTCAAATTTGTAGCATTAGAGTCCCCACACTAACGTTTTACATCCGCTTGGTCATTAAAAATCAAATTTCAGTTGAGAAGACAATTATATACTTAATTTCAATTAAAACAAAACCAAGTTAAAAAAAAATAAATTCTCTCTCGCACACACACCCCCTTTCGGCCACCTCTTTTCCACCTCCACCCAAAATTGCCATCCACAGGCAAGGGGTAGGGAAAAGGGGAGAAGCCACTGGTGTGGGTGGGGAGAGCAGCAGGCAGAATTGAGCAACCAGTATGCTATTTTTGTTTCTTTTCTTTTCCTTTCCTTTCCTTTCCCTTCTATTATTTTATTTATTCATTCATTAATTTTAGTTAAAACATTTTACTCTCAAGCGGTGTTAGCTGCACTTGACCTTTTAACAGCACAGTACCCAAGTACACAGAAACCATAGGAAGGTACAAAGGGCTATAAAATTAAAATGCTGGGGACCGATATGCCAAGAAACTTTGGTTGGGACCCAAGTGCTACAATATGAAAGGCTTGGAAACCAAGCAAAATAGAAGTTCAATGACCTTTTCTTATTTTCTAATTGAATCTAGACTACAAAAATATAGAGGAAGCATTATCATGGCTTAAATATTACACAATTCATCTCGCATAGCTAAAGGCTACAAAATAAAGCATACCTTTTTTTGATCTTGAACCAAAGGTCTTACACTGGCAGTATCGCCAACTACAATCACATTGTTCATATTTCCACTCTGATCCCTTTCTGTCGGTGAAGCTGTTGAATGCCTCCATTGTCCATTGGTAATATACTTATAATAATACCTGCTACAGAGAAAATTACTTGTAGTAGTATTCCAATAACTGGTTCTAACCGTATTATCTGTTTTTATCAAAAGTGAATTTAGAAATTTTGCATGTTAGAAACTGACACAGTTTGTCTCGAAGAGAAAACAATCAAGAAATTATATGAAAGTGTAGGCATTTGTTGATGAGTAAATAGTTCAATGAATTGAAGATTTAAAGCTTTACGAAGACTATGAAGGAGCAAAGACCCATCTCAAAAGACTACCTACAAGTTTGAAGGCCTCAACAAATTAGGATGTAAAGAACAGAATTACTTACTTCCCTTGTGAAAGTCTAACTTCAACTTCATATCTTGGGCCACCGATATGGATTGCCTTAATTGGTTCTTTCCAATTACCTGTAAAATCTCCAACTAAATATACATCTTCTCCCTGTAAACCAATACGAAGTGCCGAGATAAAGAGTGACGAAAACAGATAGATTCATAATCAAATGAAATGAGTTGGATACATTAGCATGTGGCGGACAGTGTAAATTACTGTCGTCTGGTTGTAGAAAAAGAACACAACTCTGAAAACCAATTAGAAATGTAACGAGTTAACACCAGTCATATTACCTCATGTCCATTCCACACAAAGGTCACAGAATGGGTTGCAGGTCCATCATGTCTGCCACTTTCAACCATGGATATGAGATCCCAAGTTGCCCAGGCAATTGCAGGCCTGAAACCAACATATTAGTGTACAGTTGAGAAGATACGGTACATGAATGGTGTCAATTTCATAAATGATAGAAATAATGAATTGACCAAGTATTAACATAGCAAATGAGGCAGGGAACAAATCAGTCAATTAATTGTAGCCGAACATGCCTAAAGCCCAGAGAAGATAAAATAAGGAAACATAAAAAGGAGTGGAACAACCTCTACTGCAGATGTGCAGAGGAAACAATTGCTTTGCATTAGCTGAGATGGTCATATAAAATGCGGAGATCGTGCCTCTAGAGCAATCTAAGGTGGTTACAATAAAGCCGGTCATATTATTTTGATTTCGGTTTTTCAGCACTTCTCTATTTAATTTTGTAAATGCTTACCAAAGAATTAGGGGCCTCAATATCTACATAGACTGGCATATTGATATCGAATTATGTTTCAAATCAAAGTAACAGAACAAGAGTTCTATACAAAAAAAAAAAAACCCCCAAGCCTTGAAAGCATGTTAGTACAGTTCAGCTTGTAAGGTCAATAAATGCACAAAACAGTTGCCTAATGGTAGAAATTGATGAGGAAAACCTGTCAGGCCTGCATGTATGCAACCCAGTGACGAAATTGTGAGCTGCATGAAGGGAAGTATCTGTCATCCAATGAAGGTATGCAATAACGCAAGAGGGAGATCGATCAAAGCCACTGGTACAGGTGACATAAACACAATGGTTCTTCTTAAGTAAGCGCAAGAGAAGACCCACACAGAATGGCAGTTTCTTTCTCATGTCAAAAGAATCTACATCCCTGCCAAAAAACGAAAATACGTCTACGAAATAAGTAATTATTGACCATTTTGGCAAGCATATAACATGTGATGGCAGCTAAGCATACCCAGAAAATTCCAACCATCTAGGGGTGCATTTATGTATTTTTTTTCATGTCAACAAATTAATATATCAGGGAATGATAGACATATGTACATTCTACATAAAGCTGAGCCATTTCTCAAGGCATACATGTATAAATAGCCAAAGGAAGAAAGGAAATTGTAATTATATAGTTTTTTTCCGTGAAAAGAAAGAGAGAAAACTTTTTACCTTATGGGATAGTTTATCATAAGGATATTACAACGTTGGCACGAGTCATTGATCAATTTCATATCAATTCCCCAATTTGCAGCTTCAATTGTACTCTGGAGATTCAGCACAGCTGTGACTCCCTGATGCAAATATTGCCCAGCTAGAAATTTGGATTGAAACGGACTCTCAGGTGGCCCTTACTTTGATCACACAGGACAATGGATCATGGGAAGTCCAATACTTATTACAATCCATTAGATGGCTCATGGAAAAAATGGAAAATAAAATCACACACACCTGGAGGGAAGGCAATCAAGCTGCGGACTGGTTCGCTGCTAAAGGTAATAGTAAAAGGAAGTTTAAATGGATTGATGCTAGAGATTTTAAGGGAAGAATAAAAGGTATTGTGAAGCTTGATAAAATTGGTTTGGAGTCTATTAGATTAGTTTCTAACTAGTTTTAGCTTGCTGTTTTTAGTTTGGTTTTTGAGCTGTTATTGCATATTGTACATGTTTAGCTTAGTGCATATTACATCCGTAGTTTATAGAAGTTTTTTGTAATTCATTTGGAGCTAAAGGTACATTAGTCCCCCTCCTTGCATTGTACTTGTTTTCATTTAATAAAATTCATATCCTAAGGCTTGGATTTTCAAGCTAGGACATTTTACAAAAAAAAAAAAATTGCAAGGACAAAGAATCAAATAATTATCCTGGACCAATGACTGTCATATTTACTTAATTACGGAGATGATTTTTGCGAAGCATATGAGTATGAAAAGATACAGTAGTAGCTTTAAGGTTGTATCTTAAGCAATTAGATAAAATCATCTTGTATATCATGCCAACAAAACTGGTTGAGTTTGAGAGGAAGCCTTAATGCATTAGTTGATGGAAAATCATATCGAAAACCAAAATGTAAGAAGGGGAGCAATAAATGGAAAACTGTAGCAGCAATAATATAGTAAAGAAATGGCAGCTCTCACCACAGTGCTTGACAAAGTCTCTACATCTGCTTCTGTTTGAATGCACGATCCAACATAAATTTGCTCGGTGATCTAACCCAATATAGTGAAAGGATCAGAAGGATGGTGTTTAATAATTCAAAAGCCATCTAAAACTATTCATTTTGAACCAATTTTAGAGCACATACAAAGTTATGAAAAGGATAAACAAGAAGCTGAAAATGTAATCAAAGAAGGGTTGAGAACCAAATATTTCTATAACCATAACCCCTTGTACTAAAAAAACTCCATAATTAATCAAAAGTCGGTGTTTGGTGAGAAACAGAGTAAGCATATTAAAGTATGAGCATAAAGGAGTGTGTGTGGTAGGAATGATATATAGTCTAAAAACCAAAATAAAGAGTTGAAGCGAAAGGTTGGGTAAGAAGCTGACAATTCAGTTAGAGCTGCATATCCAGAAAAGTGCACGTGTTACATCACAATGGATATTAGATCTATCCATGTAGATACCCAAGTGTCACTCACTTTTTTTGTCCTAAATAGTGGTTTAATTTTTTGATAATTTCAACAGGTGGTCCCCTACATCCATCTTCAAATTTGTAACTGTGAAACTCAAAACTGATCTGGTGGCATCATATCCTGAAACTAAGAGATGATTCTTCAGTCAATACTTTTCCCTGTTCCAATTTTTTTACAAGATTTTAATCTTTAACAAAATCTAACAAAATTAACAGCCGAATTTACTTATTCCCAGACTACAAGATGGCCAATACAAGCACAATATTTAAGTAAGCTCAAAAACCCACCTTACTATAGCGCATACCAAGAGAATGATTGTAGTACAGCTCCCCCTTTGAACGTTCCAATGCCTTGACATACTCTTCAAGCGGGAAGCTCCCATGTCCCCACTCAGCATTTCCAGCCACTTCCTCGGAGAAAATGGCTACAAGAGGGCTAAATGGTACAGCAGGGTTGTGCTTAACCATGTGTGGCCATCCATTAATGTCCTGATCATTCAAACACTTCCATCCTTGGGAAGTTAAAAACTTTGGGCAAAATGTTACAAACCCAGAATTCCCACTGCTCCCAGAAGATGTTTGTAAATTTGAAGCCAGTATGTTTTTGTTCCAAGTGGCAATGGAAACACGACCTCTATTATATAAAATGTCAAGATCATTCATAAGATAGAGCTGATGTACGGGAAAAGGAGAGAAGGGTCTCTCAAGCACTAGGCTAAAAGAACCTGATTTCTCTTTCAAAATACTCCTGCATATTCCAAAGTAACAATAAATATATATAAAAACCAGGGTTAACCATCTAGGACAGCATAGCCATGATAATTTCTCCACAAGAAAGCCTTTTTTGAATATAATAAGACTATTGAATGCCTAACATTATATCTTTACCATATGAATCTGATAACAAAAATGTGTACACGTACTCTGCATCACCGACGTCCTTGATCTCAACAAGCTTCCCACCTGAAGTTTCACTCGCCTTCTTCAAAGTGTCGCCTACCATTATTATTCTCGATTTTTCAGCATTCCCCTACAATCACATCCAGAAATTAATAGATTACATCAATACCAATTGCGCAGCAAACCATTCGTCTAGCTAGTTATCCTCGAGCCAAACTTAGTTACAACGAAATAATCAATGTAAAGAGAACTAAAAAGATTAACGAGTAACCAAAGACTCCTGGAATTCATATGTTTGAGATAAATAATGAGAAAAACTGACCCCTTTTTGAAGAGCATGCACGAAAAATCTTCCGTCGACAGATAGAGCGAATCGAATGCCAAGTGGTTTCTCGAGAGTAACCATATACTCATTTAAATTCATCTTGAATGTTGTAATGTTACTGGAGGACATAGCAAAAACCCTAGAGGCAGTGGCCCTCCTCCTGTACAGTTTCTTTTTCACTGAATTGACTGTCGAGATTCCATTGTTCATATGCAAATCTCTTCCCCAAAATGAGGATTGCATTACACTTACACTACACTTTTGAAATTTCTTAACCGATGATAAACTCGCAGTGAACGCCGATTGCTCAAAACCTCTGCAACTCGACATTTGGGGTGGGAAATTCACAAAATCCATCAAACTTAGCTGATCGCAGTTATGATAACTCTTAATCTCGTATTATTAAGAAAAATTAACACGAAACACCTAATCTTGTACTATACACAACAATAACAACACGAAATTACTAATCCGGTGCTGCCCTGATCAATAATAACATGAAAAAGAGAACGAAAGCTCGACTCCACTCGACTCATCCAAATATCAATTGCTAGCTTAGGTAATTATGGAACTGATTTGATTATCATATGGATTCATCTATGTGTAGTGTGTGTTAATCTGCAGTGAGATTCGAGCTGGTTCTAGGGAAACGGAGAAACGGAGGTGGATGGTGAATGTAATTGGTGGGATAATTGTACAAGAAGCGCCATATGGTTAGGCTAAGAGGGCATTGGCCACGTGATTTGGCTGACCTCTATTGGATTTATTGCCACGTCAGACACCTAATTATACAATTGCATGTTTGGCTAGCTAAACTTAAGAAAAAGTAAAAAGTAGCTTTTGAGTATTTTAAATTTAATTGTTGAAACACCTAATTTATTCATTTTCAATTAGGATGGACAAAACTATCAAATTAGATAGTTCTATTTGAGTTTTAAAAGATTTCAAGTATTAGAATCAAGAACGGATACATTTGGTGAGGCTATCAATTTAGTAAACCTGAAATGAAGTAAGCCTTTTAACATGTTTGGTTGGTAATTTATAGAACTTACTCCATATTTAACCTCTGTTTGATATTCATTATTCAAAAAAAAAAAAAAAAATTATATACTTATTTTCAATCACACATTCACATAATAAAATATTTTGTACACAAATTCAAAATATTTTCTAATTTTAACCACATACTTCTCAAAATTTCATCATTCAATTTATTTATTTATTTATTTTTTTTGGCCAAATGATGGCCATGAAAGAAGGCCTTAATGAAATTCATTGCAAAGTCTCTGCAATCATTATGAAACTTCAACTATTGAACTTTGGTCTAATAATTATATTTTGAATAAATTGTTCATAAGATATTTATTGATTCTTAAGATTTTCTTTGGAATTGGACCTCACCCACCCTTAATTTTAAATTTGGTTTGACAAAAAATAATTATGTGTTATAAAAGTAAACGAACAAGAGAGAAATATATTAGAAGAAATATATAGAGTCAAAACTCGAATATGCATTTTATTGAAAATCAAGGCCCCATATTTTTAAAGTTCAAAATGAGAGTTATAATTATAATAGAATAAACCCTTCTAGTGTAAATAGAACTTATCTAAGAATCTGATAAGACTAGATAGACATCAACAATTATCTCATAATTTTACAACATTCCTCGTTGATAACTATTTGCACACAAAAATTCAATGCGATAAAAATACTAAAAAATGAGAGTACAAATAATTATAACAAAAGTGAAATAATAAAATGTTGCATCGTTAAAACCCTGTCAAGAAAATCAAATGGGACAAAACTTGAGCTATGGAAAAGAGTACAACTCTCCCTGATTTCTATAAATGAGAATTTTTGTATCGAGTCATCCATGTCTTGTACATCAATTTTTTCAATATCACAATTCTGTGAAATATCATCTTAAAAACATTTCCAGAAAACCTAATGGGAGAGAACTTTGGTCAAGAAAAAAAAGTACAATGTATATTTATTCCCTCACGATTATCATTTCAAATTACATGAGTTGTCAGAAAAACAAGATATGGACTTGTGATTGCTTTAGCCGTAGTCTTTGTGAAATTCACTATATTGAGATTTGTGCATTTTATATTAAAACTTCATTTTCTCATTTCCTTCTCGCATAAATATGCAAATTTAGATTTTTGAATTGTAAGTCCAGAAACTTCAGGTTACTCTAGTAAATTAAATTTTAATAAGATTGCGTCATTTAATTAGACCAATCATTCTTTCAATCAATATGTTTCGATGAATTTATTTTTGATTCCCCATTATTCATACTATGAAGTGTACATTATGTGCAAAAGTATTGTCGACAACTTTTTATTTTCGATTTTATTTACATAATACAATAATTTATTAAGATATCTCCTCTTTCAATACTTCGAATACTTGAATCTCAAAGAGTATGACCATCTTTCTTATTTGCTCCATTTTCTTTTGGAGACTTTTGTCTCATAATCGAATGTATTAACGCTTCAAGCATACCATAGATATGTTAAATATAATGTTAACAAAATGTCCTCCCAAGTCGTCAATTCAAGTTGTATCATTTAAAGTTGGTGTATGAGATATTGTCGATCTCTTTGATCAGCAAATGCATTTAAATAAAATATCTTTAGAACTTCTTGTTTAAATTGTCTTTCACAAAGATCTAGATAATACAAATTATGCATATAGTGGGCAGGTTGAAACTTCTAATAAACAGCTGAAGAGAATTCTAGAACTCACGGTGAATGCATCTCAAAAAGATTGATCCAAAAAATTGGACGATGTTTTGTGGGCCTATCACACCGCATACAAGACTCCGATTGGAGAGTCGCCGTACCGAATAGTTTTCGGGAAAGTTTGCCACCTACCAATTGAGTTTGAATACAAAGCATATTGGGCATTGAAACATTTGAACATGGACTTAAAAAAGGTCCGAGAAACAAGAATATTACAGCTTCACGAATTGGAAGAATTCAAAAGAGAAGCTTATGAAAATGCATCTATCTACAAAGAAAGGACGAAATAGTGGCATTACAAAAATATTCAACAAAGAATTTTCAGAGTGGGGGATCAAGTGCTCTTGTACAACTCCAGACTTAAGCTATTCCTAGAACAATTGAAATCAAGATGGTCTGAACCTTTTACGGTATCCCAAGTGTTTCCCTGCGGTATAATTGAATTACACCACCCAACTATGGGAAATTTCAAGATTAATGGACAACGTATCAAACACTACATAGAGGATTTTCCCAATATTAAAGAAAGCATTGAACTAACTGTTCCAGAATAATCGTGGAACAAAATCAAGTTAATGACGTTAAAGAAGCGCTTCTTGGAAGGCAACCCAAACTTTGTTTCCTTTTTATTTATTTTATTTTTTAGTTTTAGGATAGTTTAATTTATTTTAAGTTTATTTGTGACTCCTTATACATATCCATTTTCCCTTTATATCTTCGATATGTTAGTTGGTTTATTAGATGTTAGAGTTAAGTAACATTTGTTCCAATTATTTGATCTTAATACTTTATTTGATTTTTTAGGAACATGACGTCACGGAACATTTAAACCAATATTGACCAATGAGCCAACGGGAGCAATATGAAAGCTAACCATTGAATTACAAACCATATCGGGGGAGGTTTTTCTTTACATTTTTCCTTACCCATTTGTATGCAAATTTAGGATTAAAGACATTGAAGACAATATTTAGTTTAAGTTTGAGGGTGAAAAACATGAATTTTTATTTTTTTATGTGTTTTTGTGTGCTTTTGTTGCTTTAGTGAAAAAATCTTTTATGTTCTTGTGTGAGTTAGTTGTCCTGGTTGGCAATGCTGAATATATTGAATCATGAATTGATCTATAAATTCACATAAGTTGCATGCTTAGATTAATTTTTGCTTTTACGTGTGAAATTTGATATATATTAAGCACAAACATTAAGTTAAACATTGTGTGGGAATGAGTTGATTTCATCATTGAATATGTTGAAATAGTGGATCATATATGCTAAACCCAAAAATCACTAAATTTTACCTTCTTGGAGTAAATTTAGAATAGTTTGGAGGGATTTCATTGTTAGGAAGATATTGAGATAAATAGGGATTCCATGTGTGAAATTAAAAATCTTGAGTGGATTGTCTAAGATCAATGAGATGCAATTGGGTGAAAATCTCAAGTTAGAGGCTTTTTTACTTGAATTGATGTTAAATGAGGGACATTACACTAATCAAGGTATAAAAAAATTTATTAGAAAATTTCTCTTCGTAGCCTTTATGACTCGAGCAATTAAGCCTACAAAGGGTTTTTAAAATCTGATCCCTTATGGTCATCTAACTTAGGAGTCATCGACCGAAAGTTTGTTACATGTGTCATTTAGAAAGTTTAAGGGAGAGAATGCTTCAAATAAAGAAAAAATACTCATATGAAAAAAAAATCAATCAGAAAAAGCAGGTGCATGAAACAGAAGATGCACCAAATACTTTGATTAAGTCTCAAACACTTGTTTAAGAAAATTTGACATTTGATAAGAAATAGTTAACCTAGTTAATTCCTAGAGTTTGAACCAATCAAATTTAATGGAGAATCCTTGTTTATTGAAATGTTGAACTGCAATTAGTGAAATTTTTTGCCAAACTAGAGAGGTGATGATAGTAAAAAAAAAAAAATCAAATCTTAGTTCACACACTGGAAAAGAGTGAAAGAAATAAGTTTGGGGTGTGTAAATCTTACGAGTAATGCAAGAACATATTTGATCATTGAGGATTGAGAATTGAAACAACTTATGAATTCATAATAGTATGCTTAATTCTTCACATACACGTCGATTTTACATTGGAAAAAGTAGATTTTAATTTTTTTATTGTGATTTTGAAACAGTGCATAGATTTGTTATTATAATTTCAATCTCGAGATAAAAAGCAAGGTTAACTAACTAAATCTTGTTGTTTTATTTGATTGACTGACCACCAATTAGGTAATTAGCATTGCTTGTTTGTGTGTTTATTAAGTTTTAGTTTTGTTTGAGGACAAACAAATATTCAAGTTTGAGGGTGTGATAAGTGTAGTTTATACACTTATTCGTGACCTTAAATCATGATAGTTTATTACCTTTTTGATTAAATTCTACCTAATTTATGTTATATTGTGCTTTGTAAGTAAAACTTTATATTTAATGAAGAATTTGAGAAAAGAATGGAAA